GCCAGCAGCGCCTGGGCCCAGCAGGACGCGGGCAGGGAGCTCAGCGCCTTTGTCCCCACGCTCAGGAGGGGCTACAAGTACGAGTTCAAGGTCCGGCCCTACGCCGGAGGGCGCCAGGGCTTGGACAGCAACACCAGGCACCTCTGGATCCCCGAGGAAGGTAGCTCTGGGCAAGGGGACGAGCGAGGAAGTGGGGCAGCCAGCGGGGTGGCCACGGTGGAAGGTCTCGGGCTCGTGGTGTCGGCAGCTCCGAGCGCGGCGCCCCAGCGCGTCACCGTGGGACTGGCCGAGACGGGCAACGGCACCGTGGTGGTGAGCTGGGAGCCGCCTCCGCAGGACACCCACAACGGCATCATCCGCGGCTACAAGGTTAGGGGTGCCCAGGAGGTCCATCCAGGGTGGTTCTGTCCTCAGGGGTCTATCTAAGGAGGGGTCCATCCAAGGGCACCATGGTGTGGGACACGAGCTGGGAGGTCCATCTAAGGGGGTCAATGCAAGGGAGGGATCCAAGGGATCCATCCAAAGAAGAGCATTCAAGGAGATCCATCTAAGGAGATATATCCAGAGGTGCCTCTAGGGGCACCCATCCAAATGGATCAGCCAAGGGATCCAGCCTAGAAGGTCCCTCCAAGGCAGGGATCCAGGAAAGGCCAGTCCAAGGAGTCCATCCAAGGGAAGGTCTGTCCAGAGAGATCCGTTCAAGGGGCCCATTCACATGGAATCCGACCACCGGGTCCATCCAAGGGGCTCTGATCAGGGGAGTCCACCCCGGGAGGGTCTACCTGAAGGGATGCATCCAAGAGGTCATCCAAAAGGATCCATCCAAGGAGAGTCTACCCAAAGGGACCCATCTAAGGATGAGAGGGACACCCACGAGCACGGACAGGTGCCAGTTGTCTCTCCATGCCCAACAGGTCTGGACCCTGGGCAACAGCTCCCACCATCACACCAACAGGACGGTGGATGGAGGCACCCACCGCCTGGAGACCCTCCTGCTGGGCCCCGGGGCCACCTACTGCATCCAGGTGGCAGCTTTCAACGGCGCGGGGCTGGGGGTGCCCAGCAATGCCACCTGCAGCGTCCTGGGTAGGCGGTGGGGTGCAAGGAAGGAGAGAAGGGGACAGCTCCACAGTTTCACCTCCCGCGGGATGTAACCCCGTGGCCTCCACAGAGCCTCTCCTGGAGGCCGTGGCCCAGGGGGACCCGGAGCCGCTGCCC